ACAAAGGAGTTATGACGATGCGGCGCTTCCGACGCGACAATGCGTTTATTTCGCAAATTTTAACGCCGGCACCGACGGTATTGTAGTTGAGAAAACAGTCTCGTCTATATTAAATGTGCTCAACACTAGCAACATGTTAATTCCAAAAAAACCTCTTACTACAGAAAATTTTGATGAACAAATTGAGTTTTCTATCTATCTTCCTACTTTTTTGTGATTATGAGGGAACTGTAGATGTGTATAACGCAACCTGATTGACGAAGGTAGGTCGAGGAGGTGCGAACCAGTCGCGAAGTCAGTCTGGTATTTAATTACCGTATGAATCCTCCCATTGCCTAGTCCTCCATCCTTTTGCTATTTTTAACGTAGAAGCGCTATTTGAAAGAACGTAGGTTATGAGGAGATCGAGCTTGTGCTTCTAAAAACTGCAATTTATCTTTTACTGTATGTTAAGTAGCGCTTTTCATAGTGAGGGTTGGTTTATTAAAGCTGTTATGCATTGCCAAAATAGGAGACGATCTATGCATCGAAGAGCAATTCAATGATTTGGGGTATGTGGTATTTTCAGGAGAGCAGTTGGACTCCAAAGCTTAGCCGTAACATCACCGACTTGCCATTTAAATGTGATGCGGTAGGTTTTGAATTTTTATTAAGACCCTATAGTTGTGGGTCCAGTCTGTGTCTTTCTCTATATTCAGTATGACCATCTGGCGATGCGAATGAATACTGATTTGAAATATATTCCACCGCTTGCTGGCAACTTGCAGTACGGGGCTTTTCCTCTGAACAAGGTAGGAAGGAATAATGACAAAATTCAGTTATATATGTTATTTAGATTCGATTGAACGTTAAGAGAGCACATTATTGTAAATCTTACTTCATACAGGCATTTTACAGATACCGGCTAGAGCTATCTCTGAAACTGGTGGGAGAGATATAGCCGATGAGAACGGTGAAACATTGTATGACCAACCTCCTCTTGTAAGTTTATGTTCAATCCTTAGCTTACATGAATTGGATTAAACTAGGATTTATTCAGCATTTTTTTGCTAATTCCAGCCATCAAAAAATCCAATTTTCAGATTTTTGTGAAGGTGCGATTGTCGAAGAGCATACATACTACAATCCGCTGCTATGTTGCTAACAAAACTCCAGATGTAACTATATCAAATCTTGCCGAAATGCCAGGAAATCGTGTTGTTCAATTTGATATTTTGTATCCATACGTAGAATAAAGATACCAAAGCACTGTGTACATTCTAGGGGCCATTGCTGGCCCTGTGTCATTTTAACATAGACAAATATGGTTTTATTAATCCCGAGACGGGTTTGACTTTATCTAGCTCAGGCTAAGAAGTCTTGATGATTTAATTTAAAAAAAAAAAACTTTACAGCTTGAATAGATGACATGGAAACTTTTACGCTTGATTCACTTCGCAGCGAAATAAGTTTAATACGTCTGAACATTGAGACTAAGATAGAAATTTGGAGCAATACTTCATTCTGTTGGAGACGAACAGTGATAAATGAAATTGTGAATTTGTCCTAAAATTGACACAATAACAATCGTATAAACATCTTAATTTGGTCTTCTTTCATGGCGACTCCTT